ATATGTGCAAGTTCACCTCGTGGTTGGTTCTGAGCCGGCTAACGCTGACCCTACTGGTTCTGAAGGCGATCTGGGCAATCAGTAATTATGTGGCCAGGTTTATGGCAATGATAGCACACATTCTGTCTAGCCAGACACTCTCCACAGTGATGACGGCCGCAGGTGACGCATGGTGGTACAACCTGATGGATAGGCTGCATAGTCTGAGCTGGGGCTAGTGCTGGAACTCTCTCTTTATTATTCCTATCATTACGACTCTTCCACTTTCTCTTGTTGCGTCGTCGTTTCTGCTGAGGTCGCGCTTGCTGTAGTGGCGCTGGCTGTGGTGGAGCTGGCAAGCTGGTAATGCCAGTGGCTGGACTGGCTGCCTGACTGGGACACCAACTCGACTGGCCTCCATCCTCATGCTCTCGGCCATCTGCTGGGCTCGAGAGATTGTCTCAGCATATGACATGGCACCCATGGCAATGGTGGTATGACGGATCTATCCACACAGGCCTCCCCGGAAACGCCTCGTCCTCTTTTCCTCTGTGTCAATAAGATATGGCATGAAGAAGCCGAGGTGAGTGAACTCGCGCTCGTACTCGTCAACGGTCCGTCCGCCTTGCTCCAAACTCAGGAACAACCTCTCCATCCTATCTCAGTAATTATCAGGGTAGTACTTCTTCCGGACTATCTCCTTCATCTGCTCCCATGTAAGATTTATCTTCTCCCCAGGCCTCATATCCCAATAAGAAGTCCACCAAAGTCCAGCATCCCCTGTCAACTAGAACTGGCCAAACATGATCTTGACTGGCTCTGGGCAACCCATGACCTCGAAAATAAGATCAAGGTTGCGCAACCATTCCTCAACTTGTTTTGGATCTCCTTGTCCATTAAATGTCGTCGGGTGATACCCTCGAAATTGTGCGACTAGCTGCCCCTGACTTGGCTCGGAAGCTACTAGAGGGGCTGCGACTGGTTGGTATTTCTGCGATTAGCCATCTGAATGGCCAGTTAACATGGTTAACACTTGAAGGAGTTTGGTAGAAGAGAAGAAATATTAACAATCATACAACCTAACTTGTTTAGACTTCTGATTCAAATTGGAGTTCTGACTTTGACTAGAGTTCTCAGACTTAGTTCTTTCTAAAGTTCTCATTCTCATAGGAGGATAGTTTTCTAGGCCCTTGAAATTCTCATACTGAAAAGATAAAGCACTTGCAAAAATAAAGACTTGTTTAGGTGACTTACCTCGGAGTCAGCGGGGTCGTGAGTGTGGTGTGGTTACTTGACTAACTTTCGGTCTACAGAACCTCTAACTGGCTCTGATACCAAACTGTAACACCCTGCCTTTTCTAACTTTGACTCACGAAAAATGGTTAAAATTTTTCGCGATTGTTTGCAAAATATACTTATAATATTTTTGAAAATATTAAAACTTAACTTTTCGGGATGTTACTTCCTGGCTTAACTTCTTACTCTTTATTTTTTTTACTCATGAATGTATCCAAATCAACATATAAAATTTTAGCTGGAGAATATGGATAAGGAATAAATATACATACATACTTACTGGTTATGGTTTATCCGTACGGAAACGTAATTAGCATATAGTCGTATATATTTTAATACAAACCAACTTAAACACAAACATAATAAATATCCAGCTTTATTCGAACATCATCATGTGAGAACCGAGCAGTTATCGTTAGTTGCATCAGTAAAGTTCAGAGCAGTTTTATTATGTATATACATAGTAAATGATATTGGATTATATGTGTTGTTTATCCAGTGTTGGTTTTTTCGGAACATAGTGGTTTTGCTCACCCCCCATTATGTTTTTCCAGGTGACGGAGTACAGCATGGAGCGTGAGCCAAGCAGTGGTGTGGTGATGTTCGAATAAAGCTGGATATTTATTATGTTTGTGTTTAAGTTGGTTTGGATTAAAATATATATGACTATATGTTAATTACATTTCCATAGGGATAAACCAAAACCAGTAAGTATATATGTATAATTATTCTATGTATAATTATTCCTTACCCATATTCTCCAGCTAAAATTTTATATGTTGATTTGGATACATTCATGACGGAGTTCAGAATGGAGCGTGAGCCAAGCAGTGGTGTGGTGATGTTCTGTCTCCTTTGCTACCCTATATAAAGGGGCATCAGCATAGACTCGAAACTCACACCATAATAAGCAAAGTTTTAGCTATAGAGTGAGGAAGATAAACCGAGAGAAATATTTCCAAAGATAGGTTGAAATCAACTTCCGGAGTTTCATTTTCAAATTTCTTGAAGGAGGTTAGATTCTACCTTTTTATCATGTGTTGTATTTGAGATTAAGTGTATCATTATGTATTTATATGTCATATATATTTAATTTTTATGAAATTTTAGGCATGAAAAATGATAAGTTGTTTCCAGCTCAATCGCATGTTATATATGTCCTGTTTTGATTTGAATTTTAGCATGATATGCAAAAAATGGGAAAGTATACTTTATATGGTTATTTTTTGTGTAAATGATGAATACATAGGAACAAAAATTATGTCATTTGGTTATGTATAGCTCGAATTATAGATTTTTAAAGTTTATCATGCAAATCGAATTTTTATGTCAAGTTTTAGCTGCTTATTTTAAACTCGAATAAGTCAATCTATGTGCATGAAAAAAATATGAAATTTTAATGACATGTATATCTATATGTTGAGAGTTTACTTGTCAAATTTCAGAATTTTATGTTAGAGAAAGGAAGGAGTTAAAAATGTAAAACTCCATGCCTGTCAGGTTGATTTGATATGCGATAAAACTCACTCCACATTCAAGTTTTTAATGTGAAACTTTTGTGAATAATTCTTGTATGAGTATTTGTCAAGATGACCAAGTTTCAGCTTGACATGAGAAGTATGTGAATATATAAAATTCTTTAAAGTTAAGCATAAAATTAGCATAATTATGTGTTAAGTTTAGTATTTGGATGGATTGAGCTATTGAAGTGCTTTTGAGCTAAAATTTGATTAAAGAGTGTATGAATATATCTACTATTTAACTGCCAAGTTTCATAATTTTTAGAGTTATATGTGATTTTTGAGAAAAAAAAATACTTAGATATAATTGTTTGTATATGTTGGTAGTTGTGGAGATTCGAGCCTCCAACAGCTACATCAGTTATTCAGCACTTGCAAAGTCTTTTCAACATATCAGGTGGGGGACCTACACTGGGTATTACATCACTTATAATCTTGTACCATGTATGAGGTATGTATGTAGATAATTTTACCCGAACGATGGAGTTATTCCATTCGTGGTCTAGTTTAAGATGACTCTGTCTTGTATGGAAGTTTCCATCCTGAGTCACTCGCCCAGTCAAGACTGGGTTTCTGGGGAGGCGACCCCCAGAACCGGCTGGTCCGGTCCGGTTTTTACAACTATGAACAAAAATGAATGAAAATAAGGGAAAAAAGAAAAAACAAAATGTTTAGGGTATGATTGAATATAAACTTGACCAGTAAAAAATCAATTAAAACTCTAAGTTAACTGTAACGCCCCGTTCAGTTAATAAATAGAGCCGATTCACTTTGCTCGACTTTAAAGTGAAATCGAAAGTGTTTTTCATTAAATTGAGTTAATCGACCAAATGATATTAATGACTTATATGATTTAATGGATAAGTTATAAGGATTAAGTAGATGTTAATGATTGGAGATAAATTATTTAGACAAGAAGGTTTATTAAGAGTATATTTGAATTTATATTTGAAATATTCGAGTTTCTCGGTTTTCGATTGTAGTCGGAATTTAAGTCCAATTTTAGTTCCGAAAAAATTTATATTTCTCTATATATTTTATTAGACATCAAGATGAACTTTAGCATGGATTTTCAAAGAGGATATTAGCACAATTTTAGATTAAATTTTAAAAAAGTCGTAAGTGATATTGTTTTATTGAAATAAAAATAAAGTGTTCATTTAAACCATATTATTCCTCATGAAATTACTTGATATTGATATATATATATATATATATATATATATATGTCATGTGACATGTTATTATAAGTTGGGACATGATAAGAATAAAAAATTTTCAGCATAAAAAAAGAAAAATGCATAAAGAAAAAGAGAGAAATTGAAAAATTTTGATTTTACGGTAAGCGTTCGTTTTTAGTCAGAATTCGGTTCCGTAAATTTTATATTTTTCATTAAGTCACGAATTTTATCATGGAAATCAGATTAGGATCACATGATGGCCTTTCTAAGCATTGACTATAGATTGAAGAAGTTTACAAGTTATAAATTCCATTTATTATCTTTATTTATTTTATAAAAAAATTTCTAAGTATTTTTAAGTATAAATGAGCCATTTTAGCTGAATTTCGAGCCATATTAAGGTCTGGTCAAAGGGAGGAGTTTTTGTCTTGATATATACAAGAGAAATCATGCATTACAAGTACTTTTCAAAGCTTACTCACATTTGTGCAAGATTTTAAATAAACATTAATGGTAAGGGCCCTAAAATGCTGTTTATGGTAGAGTGTGGATGTAAAGATGGTGATGTTCTGGACCGTTCAAAAATCGGGAAAACCGTAGAACCGGAGCCGATTCCAACGGCCTAGCGGCTTCCATTTCAGACAAGTGGTTTAACTTTTTCCTTATAAATGCTTCTTTTTATTGATAGTTTTCAATGTGGGACTGTTGTTTCCACTTTTCACACTATTCCTCTTTTGCTTGCCTTTAACGTGGGCCAAGTCAAAAGGCCCATTAAATTTAACTGTTTGGGCCTTTTATATTTATATATATATATATATATATATGAGAAAAGTACCCTCTGCACGAGCCCAATTTTCTATATTGCCCATTTAACGAGATAAAAAAAAAACCGCACATCAAACTTCATTCAGGCTCAATTACGAAATGTAAAAATTTTAATTCCACTTTCTCCATCATCGACGCCGCGATCACCACCCTCACCATCTTCTCCCACCGGACTCCGCCTTCTCCACTCTCGGTCAGCCGTCTCTCGCCCACCTCCTCCTTCACTCCTCCCCCCCTCTCTCTTTCCCCGTCATCCCTCATCTCCCTGCCCTTCGCCTCCACAGTCCCGTCCCTCTCCCCGGCCAGCCACCTCGTCGTGACCTCCGGCCAGCCCGTACAAATATCCATCAATAACGTCGGAGTCTCTGATACCCCCATTTTCGACGACGGATTTGTCTTCGTCTACGCAATTGATGGTTTCTTCAACCTGAATTTCACCATAGCGGATGCAGATCCGGCCAACCCGAACCCTAGATCTCATTCCCAGTGCCTGAATCTAGAATCATTCTCTAGATTTGGGGATGCGCCTGGAGTTTTGAAATCGAGAGGCTACTCGTTATTTCCTCCAATCGACTGATCACCGATAGCTTGTTATCATTTTAGGTAAACTTTATCCTGTCAATTATTTTTAATTTTCGTACTATTTTTTTTTCAGGAAATTAAATGTTCATGGAATTTGCTGGTAGAATTTTGTGATGCTAGAGTTATTTTTATTTTTTATTTTCTGTAAATTGTTTTGCTGCTTTTTGCTCAATTTTCCCTCGGTTTAGTTGGTCATTTTTCTATGCAGTGTTATGTAGTTTGTTGAGATATTTGTGTGATATGTGCTTTCTGTTGTTCAGTAATTGATTAATTATGTGATCTTTTAATCTCTCGAACTGCAGATCATTGGACTTTTGGAAACTCACACGACGTTGTGAAACTGTGGACAGTTTTTGGAGCGATGGACGAGGAATTGGTCCAGTTTTCTGGGGATTTTGTAGGCCTCTCTTCTTTGTTCATGAGGCATTTGGCTCCGTGCAAAGTGATGTGGAATGATATGGATGAGATGACCAACGGGACTGTGGTTTCCAACAATGTGAGCAGCTTTAGCTTGGAGATTACCAAGGATGAAGTTGATACAGTGATGGTGAATGGAGTCGAAATCACTTCCCAGAGCTGTACGAAAGCGAGTGGCTGGTGGTTCACGGGATCGAGCGGTGATTGCTTTGCCGGAGATTGGGGATGAGGAGATGGAAGTGACGGAGGAGTTTCCGGTGGAGAAAGACAATAACTCGATGGCTCTGGATAATGGGGACCTTTGAGGTCAGTTGTTGCTAGTTTATTGAATGAAGCGTTTTCTTTTACATTGAAGAATTTTTCATGTATTGAAAAGGGAATGAGAGCTTTTAATATTCTTAGAATTGAAAATTGGGATTGAAGTGAATATGTGAATTGCGGAAATTTTACTAATGGAACTCTGGTATGAGATTTCTTGTTGAAAAGTGTCTCGGTTTATGAACGAGGAGAAAACAAGCGTCAAGGAGAAGAGAGGTGAAAATGGGGATACGAAGGTCGGAAAAAGTGATGGGCTGCGTTTCCATGGCTCCGATTACCCCTTTTTTCAAATTAGTAGTGTTAATATTTAGAAGAAAAAAAATTAAAGTAGCTTTTTTAGTGTTAGTTCGATGTTTATTTGATGTTTATTTGATGTTTATTTGACGTTTATCTATGATTTTTCAAAGATGAGAGCTTGATAATCTGTGGAAGTTTTTTATAAAATAGACTTTTGAGTGTTAATTGATGATTTCATTACGTGTGTTGATTTAGGGGAAAAAAATTTATAGTTTTTTGAGTGTTAATTTGATGTTTATCTGATGTTTATCTATGATTTTTTGAAGCTCGGATCTTGAATAATGTCTGGAATTTTTTTTGTTAAGTAGCTTTTGAGTGTTAATTGATGTTTATCTATGATTTTATTATGTTTATCAATAGTTTGTATTCTGAAAATAATATATATGTAAATTTACATTTGGTGTGTATAAAAGTACTATTTTTATAACTATAATAAACTAAAAATAAACCCTATAGAGATTACCAAGGATGAAGTTGATACAGTGATGGTGAATGGAGTCAAAATCACTTCCCAGAGCTGTACGAAAGCGAGTGGCTGGTGGTTCACGGGATCGAGCGGTGATTGCTTTGCCGGAGATTGGGGATGAGGAGATGGAAGTGACGGAGGATTTTCCGGTGGAGGAAGACAATAACTCGATGGCTCTGGATAATGGGGACCTTTGAGGTCAGTTGTTGTTAGTTTATTGAATGAAGCGTTTTCTTTTACATTGAAGAATTTTTCATGTCTTGAAAAGGGAATGAGAGCTTTTAATATTCTTAGAATTGAAAATTGGGATTGAAGTTAATATGTGAATTGTGGAAATTTTACTAATGGAACTCTGGTATGAGATTTCTTGTTGAAAAGTGTCTCGGTTTATGAACGAGGAGAAAACAAGCGTCAAGGAGAAGAGAGGTGAAAATGGGGATACGAAGGTCGGAAAAAGTGATGGGCTGCGTTTCCATGGCTCCGATTACCCCTTTTTTCAAATTAGTAGTGTTAATTTTTAGAAGAAAAAAAATTAAAGTAGCTTTTTTAGTGTTAGTTCGATGTTTATTTGATGTTTATTTGACGTTTATCTATGATTTTTTAAAGATGAGAGCTTGAATAATCTGTGGAAGTTTTTTATAAAATAGACTTTTGAGTGTTAATTGATGATTTCATTACGTGTGTTGATTTAGGGGGAAAAAATTTATAGTTTTTTGAGTGTTAATTTGATGTTTATCTATGATTTTTTGAAGCTCGGATCTTGAATAATATCTGGAATTTTTTTTGTTAAGTAGCTTTTGAGTGTTAATTGATGTTTATCTATGATTTTATTATGTTTATCAATAGTTTGTATTCTGAAAATAATAAATATGTAAATTTACATTTGGTGTGTATAAAAGTACTATTTTTATAACTATAATAAACTAAAAATAAACCCTATATATTTTTTTCTTGTATAATAAACTGTTTTTTTTCTAGTATAATAAACTGAAAGAAAACTATATATAAATTTAAATTTACAATCTGTATTCTTATAATGGTTTATAAACCTATAATAAATTTAAAATAATCTAGATATGAATTTTGGTAGAAAAACTTGTTCATAAACTCAAGATAAACTTGAAATTAACTATATTTAAATTTAAATTTGGAAGTTAATTATTTGGTGCACATAGAAAATGAGTTAATTACATGAGTTGGTTATTAACAATGCGTGATGATAATTGTTGGAATTAATTAAGTTGTAAGAGGAGGTTGTGATGATAATTGTTGGAATTAATTAAGTTGTAAGAGAAAAGCCTTCCTACGTCTGCGGGCCGGTAGGATTGGTAGCTGGCACCAGAAAACCCGTTGTAAAATAGACTTGGTAATAACTTTTCAATCTCGTAAAGTGGGAAATTCATCAGAAATAGTGTCCAATCGTGTCCTTTAGCCTATATATATATATATATATATATAAGTATGCGTTTTGCAATTTGCAAAGTTTTGGGCCCTTTTCTATTTTTTTATTTTTGTTGTTATGTCCCTGTGCAAGCTTTTTTAAAATTTAAAACTAAAGTTCAACTTAATAAAATATAAAAATCAAATATATTATATAATTATTGTTATAAATTTATAATTTACAAAATAAATACAAACCCTACATAATCAGTTGAACACTTTAACGTTTAATATGATAATAATGAAAATATATACAATTATATAATATACATATTAAATTAATAATAACACTATAAAACTAATGATAAAACATATGTAATTATATAATATATATATTAAATAAATAAATATTAATCAAATCGTTCGACTACTGGTCCGACCAATAAACCATTAAATCAGTAGCTTCATCTGTTAAATGACTAGTTCGATTTTCAAAACCATGTTTTTGTTGCATTTTTTCCTTTAAAATTTCCACTAAAGGCTCGAACTAGAAAAGCCAAATGCCCATGCATATCATATTATCAGTCACCACCCCCTTCAAATTCCGCCACGTTTTAACACACTTTTCACCGTCAAAAGAAAAACACTAATCATTCTCTTAAGAACAAAACAGAAAAGTACAGATGAATGGGGAGAGCTTGGTGGTTTCAGCTTCAATCAACATCGGTTTTGCGGTCCTCATCCTCACCCTCTTTTCAATTCTGAGGAAACAGCCCTCTAATGCCCCCGTCTACTTCGCCCGCCGCCTCGCTCAGCACCACCACATTTCTTTCCACCGCTGCTTCACTTTCCGGCGGCTGCTGCCCTCTTTTGGGTGGATTCGCTTCGCCCTCTCCGTAGTCGACGATGAGATTCTTGACTCATGCGGCCTTGATGTCTTGATATTCATCCGCCTCTTTAAATTCGGGTCATCACCTAATCACCGACTTCATTTCGCAATTCAATAAATTTTGATTTCTCATTTATTTACTTGATGATCTGGTGAATGATTTTTTATTGCCTATTCTTTTATATTATTCTAAATGAAGGGATTGATTTCTTCGAGGATACATAAATAATAGTAATAATGATTGGAAAATACTTTAGGTATGTGCTGCTGAGTGTAACATTTTACACTGCAGGATCAAATTCTTTTTGGTTTGCTCTGTAGTTGGATTATTTTTACTGCTTCCACTCAACTATATAGCCGGCGATGGAGGGCATTCGAAAGAATCTGGTTCCATGGATGCTTTCACAATATCGAACATTGCCAAAGGCTCTGACTGGTAAAAAAAAAACAAACAATTAATTAAATAAAGAAGTGAAGTTCATATGCATTATTTTTTCTGTCACTGCCAAACTTAATGTATGTTCTGTTATTGCTATTCCTATTCCATTGTTTGTGTGGGGTAACTGATGTTTACTTGAATTTCTTTTCTATCTAGTGTCGTTTTTGTAATAACGTCCAAGTTCATATGAATTTGTTTTATATTGGGCATTGTTTCAACAGGCTTTGGGTACACTTCACATGCTTATGCTTCGTGTCTTGTTATGGACTCTACCTACTATACAAGGTAGTCATTTCGTTAGTTGTCTACTATTTCTCATTCAAAGGCTGTTCTCAAAATTTCTATGCCTCAAGATTGTTGTTGTCTGTTTCTAAAGTTGCTTAGCCGTGTTCAAACTTCAAACAAGGAAATTCACTCGAAAAAATTATGTAGAATCCAAGGATAACTTGTGAAAGACAACAAAAAACCTGGAAGAGGGTTTGAAAATGTGGTCATATTAGGTGTTCGGGATCCTCGAAAACTGTTATTATTCACTACTTAGCCACTGCCTTGTCAATTTGTCAGAATTTGATGCATTTAAAATAATATAGTCAGGACAAACTCATGTTCTGATGCTAATTCACGAGGTGACCTTGTTTACTTGGTCTTCCCCAGGAATATGATGATATTTTGATCAAGAGGCTTCATCAGTTGCGTATCTTGAGGCATCAGCCTAATCAGTTCACTGTTTTAGTCCGAGAAATCCCATTATGTGATGAACACAAAGCCCGTGATTGCTCTGTAGACCATTTCTTCTCGAAATACCATCCTCATTCTTATCAGTCTTATCAGATCCTATACGACGGGAAGGATCTCGAGAAATTATTCGTAAGTTAAAACTGAATTCTTTTCTTGATATTAGGTTTTGATTGTTTAATATATGTTTTCTGATCATACAGACCGAGGCGAAGTCCATTAAAACAAAAATTGAGAAGTTGAGGAATCATTCACTTGGAAAGCATAACAGGAATTTCCATCAGTCATGGAACAACGATGTACAGGTAGAGAAACTGAAGGAAATACTTGAGGAGCTTGTTCGTAAAATAAAGCATACACAGAGTAAAAAACAGCTTCAAGCAAAGGTGAAGTTAATCTTAGAGTGATTACTTTCATTGTCATACTCTTTTATGATCTTTTTAGCGAGTATCACTAAATCTCAATTGCCAAATGTCAAATTCTCGTCAAGTAAAGCATTTTTTTCTTTACAATTAAAAGGGCTCCAACAGTAGTTCCTCATTAGACATGATTAAATCTTTATCAAATAAAGTTTCGGCGGTAGTACACAATTGTTACTTGTTCTAAGTTCTATTACTATTACAGGAGTTGCCTGTAGCTTTTGTTACGTTCAAATCACGGTGGGGCGCCGCTCTAGCAGCCGAGTCTCAGCAGATCTCGAACCCACTTGTATGGATAACAGAAATGGCACCGGAACCAAGAGATGTAATTTGGGGAAATCTTGCAATTCCACGCAAGTACTTACCACTTTACAAATTCGGTGTCTATGTGGCCGTAACACTGCTTACGGTCTTCTTTGCAGTGCCTGTCACAGCTGTCCAGGGAATCGCAAAATTTGAACGGCTAAAGAAGTGGTTTCCTCCTGCCATGGCTGTGCAGTTAATGTAAGACTTGTTCATCTCAGTCTTTTAATTCAATCTTTCGTATCCAACACCTTCTCTGTTTTTTAGACCCGGGTTACGGTCTATTGTGACGGGATACCTCCCGAGCGTCATTCTCAACGGTTTCGTCTACCTTGTTCCGTTTGCTATGATAGAAATGGCGAAATTAGCTGGTTATGTCTCCAAGAGCCGAAAGGATATAAAGGCATGCAACATGGTGTTTTACTTCCTAGTCGGGAACGTCTTCTTCTTGTCCTTGTTATCAGGATCTCTACTCGATCAAATTGGGGAATCTTTCAGCCACCCAAGGGACTTTCCAGGCCGTCTTGCTAGTGCAGCTTCTGCCCAAGTCAGTCCACGCTCGTTACTCATTTAAAGGCTCATAACAACTTTTTACTTCATCTCTCTAATAGATTTTGTCATTTTGTATTTTAGTCGGATTTTTTCATGACGTACATCTTGACGAATGGACTGTCTGGGTTTTCTCTGGAGATTCTTCAGCCGGGGCTGCTTATGTGGGATGCAATGAAGTCACACATGTGGGACCGGGGGAAGAATAAACAACCTAAACTCTACTCGCTGCCTTATTACCGTATTGTCCCCTTTGTGGCTCTCGGTATTTTGATTGGGATGGTTTATGCGGTTGTCGCACCATTGCTTGTCCCATTTCTCGTCGGATATTTCTGTCTAGGCTATGTTGTGTTTGTGAACCAGGTTGTCTATCTTTCCTCGATTTTATGTCATGCGTATTTTTTTTTTTATTTATTTCTTTTCCTGAAAACTTGTCGTATTTATTGTTGGCTTCATGCAAGTGAGATTCATTTTCTTTGCAGGCACAAGTAGAGAATGGTTTGGAGCAATTCTTATGCAATGTGATTATTTATTCTTTATTTTATCGTGTTTTTTGGTTGCTTTTGCAGATTCAAAATGTGTACATAACAACTTATGAAACTTGTGGTCAATATTGGCCTTACATTCATCACTATATTCTGGTTGCAATCATCATCATGCAAATCACAATGATTGGTCTTTTCGGGCTGAAATCAAAGCCCGCGGCATGTATCTCCATAATACCACTCCTCGTTTTCACTTTGCTCTTCAATGAATATTGCAAGACCCGTTTCCTGCCTACATTTTATCACTGCTCTGTCAAGGTAAACAGTTTTTTT